TGCTGTTAATGAAAGCTCGGCAACAAAACAGAAAGCATCCAGAAAAGGCAAGTTATTTGCAAGAGTTGTTAGTGCTATTAATTAGACTATATCTAGCATTTGAACAACACAATCACACTATCCTTTGATGAAAAAGCCATACTCTAGAGGTAGAAGGCTGCCCATGCAAAAACACAGGCTACATCCCGTCGAGACATTATTTTGTCTACTGCCATCCTACCAACATCCACTTCTGACATCATGGGACAACATCAGAAAATAGAAGGCACTGCTTTCGAGGCAGCCCACGTAACAGCTACCCTTGCCTGCATTTTTGCATGGCTCAGACTGGTAGGTGTAAGGGCAGCATCAGTTGCAGACACACTGCTCACAGGCTCAGCAGCGGCCTCCTGTCCCTGTGCTACCATGGCACTCACCCACAGAGAGCAGGCAGGCAGAGGGATCAGGCACTTCGGGTAGCTCCAGCTGCACACCCGCACACCTGGTGCTCCCATCATTCCGTGGACCAGACTTGCTTCACGCAGTGCCTGCTCTGTGTTCAGCACATTTGGCAAAACCTACAGGGCAGGGATTGTGGAAATGAAGACTCCCTGAAGGCAAGCCCCGCTCTTGGGAATAAGAAGAGCAAGGGTAGCTGTTACGTGGGCTGCCTCGAAAGCAGCGCCTTCTATTTTCTGACGTTGACCCATGATGTCAGAAGTGGATGTTGGTAGGATGGCAGTAGACATACTTCTCACAAATGTACATAATCTCTTTCTGGACCTTGTGATACTGCCCGCTCCACAACATCAGCCTTCTGCTCTGCAAACTGAAGCATTCTAGCTTTATGTCTTTCCTTTCAAGGAAGCTGCTCTATCCTTTTACCATGCTAAATTCCCTTTTTTGAATCACCTCACATTCACCGCATCCTTCTTGAGGAGTACACACTAAACCTCTACTCTGTATTCATGGCTCAGATTGGTAGGTGTAAGGGCAGCACCAGTTGCAGGCACGCTGCTCACAGGCAATATCACATGGTTCAAAATGTCATTATATACATTTATCAGAAGAGTGGATACTAGTAGGACTGAGCCAGGTATAATAGCTTCTGATATTTCCAGCTAATATGGATGCTAGTGAAGTGTGAGGGGAAGGCTCTTCAGGAAGTGATGGTCTGTAAAGCACAAATGTTGCTGTGCTCTGCTGTAATCCAGTATGGTATTTCTTATATTCCTGTGTTTCCATTGCTTAATGAAGTCCTTCACTCAGAATTTTAAATTGAATTAGGGGTAGCAGGAGGCTAACTGAGTTTGTCCAAGAAAGTTGTTTGTCATAATTGTAATGCATTGCTATTATTTTGTGCCAGAAAGGAAGGGTTAGCTGGGCCTTTAATTTACTCATATCATATACATATTCACTTCTTCCAGTTTCTTGGTATACAGAGTTATCCAAATCAAACTGGTTGTAGTTCAGTGGCTCGAGTAACCACGTTTAAACTGATGCACAGTGACTGACCAAACACACCAATTACCTGCCCCTCTTGCCAAGTAAAACACAGCAACTTAAACCATGATTTAGCCTGACAAATGATTTGTTGTTTAAGCCTAATACCTCTTGATTCACAGACTGACACACATTCAGTTACTGCAATTTGGGTGATGAATGTTTGCCCATTAGGCTTCAGTACTTAATTTTTTTCCAGCTGAAATCTTTTCCCTTCTGAGCACTCTTCTGTGTTTTCTCCCCTTTTATTAGACTTTTTCTTCACGGTAATCAGCACGCTTCTAGCCTTGCTTAGGAAAGGACTGTGTTGTGTTTAAAGATTGTAAGTGAATATAACTTGCTTGAACACAGAACTGCAGATTTGACTGAACAAATGTTACTTAGATCACTTGGTGTTTTGGTAACTTGTGTAATGTCAAAGCCACTAATGCAATGAAATACACATGCAGTTTTGGCTGTGGAAGCAACAACTGCCAGAGAGGGATCAATGACAGCATAGATTTTAAAGGGAGTCCTTGTCAACACAAGTGCAACAGAGCACCATCTCCTCTCCATCCGTGACTAGAAGAAAGGAATCAGAAACCACTTTGAACCAGATGGTGATTCCTTCTAAAAGAAGTGGAGGTCTGAGGTTAGTATTTCCAGTTCAGCACAGTTTACTTCTTTGTGAAATACACATTTGGTGCATCTTGATGCACTTTATCTTGTACACAGAAAATAGCAAGTCTTATAAGCATGGGGAAATTCATATTAAAAAAATCACTGAGCTTTTGTCTTGATGTCAGATAGCTTTATGCAACATTGGCAACCAAAATAGTCTAATGACTGTTAGCCAGGAAATGACTAAATATAAGATGTGACAACAAAGGAATTGCCATTAATAATGCTAATTTTTACTTGTTAGCAAACACTTCTTACTGTCTTCCATCTGGAGCAAGCATGATGACTTGAACATTTTTGAGGCCGTTCACATGCTCTTAAACATCCAAACCTGGCAATAGGAGAGAATAGATCATGTAAGCAAAGGAGCAGAATATAGACCACCTTGTTCTTTTGATGATTATGTCATATGTAGCTAATTAGCAACAGAACAAAAGGGCGAAAAGTAAATTGAAAAACAGAATGTACATCAGCAATGCTTGCCTGTTTCACTAACTTGAAATGAATATTGGAAAAGCTGAATAGTGTACATCAAGGTTATTTCATGGCACATTTCTTGTCTTGCCCTGTAAAAAGTCTTCCTCATATCAGGAAGAGGGGAATATCCCTCTGTCTAATTAAAATTCATTTGTTGTGGCGTTTTCTCCAGAATGAATGTTAAATGAAGAGCTTGTTATACAGAATTACATTAGATCATCTTCTTCTCTCATCTTTTCATCAAAGAATTTTAGAATGGCCTCAAAGATTATTATGTTTCAGCCTTGCAGAAAGTGGAGGCCTGAGGCCTGATCCTTCACTTTCATTTTCAGATGAGCATTCATTTTGGCAGGACTGCAGAACTGCCAAGCCAATCTCTGTCATATCTGAAAAGTCATGGCTGTCAGGTGAAGTCCTTCATGACTGGAAAAAGGGAAACATCACTCCCGTTCTCAAGAAAAGGAGAAAGGGAAACTGCCTGGGAAACTAGAAGCTCTTGAGTAATGTGGGGAACTGCAGGCACATGTCTATACATGGGAAGACCATGGTGATGGTCTTTGATGATTTGGAAGCTAAGTTAAAGCACTTATAAAACAAGGAGGTGATCTGTGACAGCCAGCACAGCTTCACCAAGGGCAGACAGTGCTTCACCAACCTTGTGGCTTTCTATGACAGCATTGGTGGACAAGAGAAGAGCAGCTGAAGCTGTCTAACTGTATTTCTGCAAAACCTTTGATATGGTCCCACACCACATCCTTATCTCAAAATTGAAGAGATGTGGATTTGAAGGCTGGACTGTTTGGTGGATAAAGAATTGGATGTTGCAGCCACTGGACTGTGATCAGTGGTTCTGTGTCCAGGTGGAGGTGAGTGATAGGTAGGTTCCATCTTGCTATCAATACTCTCCAACATCTTGATCAGTGACATAGACAGTGGGATGGAGTACACCCTCAGCAGGTTTGCAGATGACACCAAGCTGACACAGTGGAAGGAAGAAGGCAGTTGACACAGTAGAAGGAAGGGATGCCATCCAGAGGGACCTCAACAAGCTTGAAAAGTGGGCCCACATGAACCTACTGAGATTCAACAAGGCCAAGTACAAGATGTTGCTCTTGGGTCAGGGCAGTCCCAGATATGTGTACAGACTGAGAGCAGAACACATGGAGAGCAGCCCTGTAGAAAGGGCTTGGGGGTCCCAGTGAAACAAAAGCTTGTCATGAGCCGGCAGAGCGTACTTGCATCCTGGAAAGCCAACTATATCCTGGACTGCATGAAAAGAGGGATGGCCAGCAGGGAGAGGAAGATGATTGTCCCCCTGTACTATGCCTTTGTGAGGGCTTGCCTGCAGTACACTGCATCTAGACCTGGAGCCTCCAGCACAAGAAAGATGTAGAGGTGTTGGAGCGGGTCCAGAGAAGGGCCACGGAGATGATCAGAAGGCTGGAGCACCTGTCCTGTGAGGAAAGCCTGTTGGAGATGGGTTTGTTAAGCTTGGAGAAGAGAAGGCTCTGGGGAGGCCTCATTGCAGTCTTGCAATACTTGAGGGTTTGTTTGTTTGCTTATTTGTTTTAACCAGGTCTGATAGTAACAGGAGAGATGGAATAACTTTATACTAAAAGAGAGGAGATTTTGGTTAGGTATCAGGAAGAAATTCTTTACCCAGAGGGCAGTGAGGCACTGGCATAAGCTACATAAGGAAGCTATGAATGCCCCATCCCCGGAGGTGTTAGAGGCCATGTTGATTGTGGCCCTGGGCAGCCTGGTCTAGTGAGTGGCAACCTTTCTGTGGTAGGAGGGTTGGATCTACATGTTAGACTTGCTTATCTGATATTATAATTTCAGACATGCTGAAGTATAACATAGTTCAGTTAGAGACATGGAGGTCTGAGTTTAAATGGGGCTTCTGGGCCCATCGTTGGAGGGCATTACTGAGACTAGGCAGGACAAGTAAGGGAAGCAAGTACAAGCAGGACTGTGGTGCAGAAGAAATTTAGTTTGGGTGACTTTTGGCTTTTACAGTAAATATGGACTGGAAATGAGAAAAAGACTTTGATTATCTGAAGATGTGAGGAAGCTGTGGCACAGTGACTGACATGCAGCTAATTTTTATGCAAGTTCAACGCTGTTACTATTGTTCAAGCAATTTATTTCTTTATTATAATGTGAGTTGTCAGGATCTAGAGCCTTGCTCTGCTGCTCAGTCTGTGCTGCATCCAAAACTTTCAGTTAGTTTCTCACTGCTGGCCTTACTATAGAATATATATATACATATCCACACAAATAAATGATTTTCTGATCTCAGATATTATCTGTATTGGTTTAGAGAAAACAGACATAAAAAACGCAGAAGTTTAAAATATGTTCTGACTTTGTGCTTTCAGGTTCCTGAGCACACAGAACTTGCCTGGATTCTTGGATGCTTAACTAATGTGCCACGGTTACTACGTTTGCCCCAGTGGAAGGTATGAACAGTTTAGTAAGTTAAAATAAAGTATATGAGAATTCAATACAATTGTTGTCTTTGAAATACTTGTTATTTGTTGAGTATAAACTGTATCTTTGTTATCCTTGGTTTAGGGTTAAGAATTCATACAACAGTAAAAAGAAGAAAATACATTTTCTTGGGCAGAAACTACTTGCAGTAGCTGTACCCAAATGGGAAGAATTATTTAATTCATTTTATTAAACTGATTTTCTTAACATGTTTGGAGTTATTTTGATCCCTGTATGCATAAAACTACAAGCTTCGAAACTTCGAGCCATGCTGATTAAGGAGTTCCATAAAAGGAAGTGGCTGTTCTGTAAATCTTATGGAATAGGTGAAAAAGAAACATCGCAAGAAATGTATGTTTGGGGAGGAGTATAGACTTAAAATGCTGAAATTGTTCTCAATTATAAAGTTAATGAACCTTGATTGTTTGCTGTTATGAGTTTCATGCTCATTTTAATCTTGGTACTGTATCAGCATTACCACATCAACTGCGTAGATACATTTCATTTCCTTGGATTTTATTTGGCGTTTAGTAACAGAAAAAAACAAAAGGCAGGAGAGAGAAGTATCAAAAAAGGGAAAAAAATCCTTAAGAGCAGTTTGGCTTGCAGAGTTCAGAGAAGTCTTAAATACATCCAGATGTTTTCTTTTTTCCTGTTTTTCTTCTTAATTAAATAAAAACAGTAAAACTTAAATACAGCAACCAGTGTTAATGCATGGCATAAATTAAAGCCAACCTTTTCAAACCCAAGGTTCTAAAGTTAAGCTCTTAAATCCTACTTAGACTGGATTGACTTTCCAAATCTGTAAGTAAGTGTTACAGGTGCTAGGCTTTGCACAGTAAGTTTCCTGAGCACTTGGGATATAGAGAGAAGACAGGATCTGTATGATAGGGTGAGAAAAATTGAAAGTTATTTGTATAGTCTTAATGAACTAATAAAGATTTTAAGAGTTTTAATGTAGTTAACTATTGTTAAAAAATAGTTATATTGTTGCTGGAACAGACTAAATTATCTATCGCTAGAATATATTGATTTAAGTGATCCATACCATGTGATGGTAAAGGAAGTGAATGGACTGGGACAGTGAGACAGTGGGAACCAATGGAGAGAATGCTGGACCCTGCCTCTGCAGTTCTGGATTCTCCTCCTGGTTGTCACTGACCATTTTGAGGACTGTGATCTCTATGTTTTGATCTCTCGTCAGTGAAATACAACTACTAATGCCTTTCTATATCTTGATTATAAAGTGTTTCAGAAAATTACTTTCAAAAATACTGTTTTAGAGGTAGAGATTATCATTATAATAGTCCAGCTTTAAAAAATACTATTTTAGAAGTAGGTCTTATCATTATAATAACCCAGCCTGACTATTTTGTATTTGTAATCATTCTGGATTCCAAAGAGGAAGAAAAGCTTATGTTTTCTTGCTGCTACTGTATTAGAACAGTGTAGGAAAATACATAAACATAGAATATAAAACAAAGAAGCAAGATTCACAAGAAGCAGATTCTACATAGCGTGCTTTTTCTCTAGAGTTACATGATGAATGAACACAGTAGCTGAACCTACACTCAAATTAGTTAGAGCTCTAACTAACTAAAATCACGGACTTTGACACTGTTAGCCAAAAATGTGATTTCTCTCTTTTTCTTTTCCAAACAGATGAAATGTGCCAGCCAGAATAACGATGGAAATGTCGGTTTGTTGACTTATCCTGTTCTTCAAGCAGCAGATATTTTGCTGTACAAGTAAGAGACAGAATGTGAGCCCATGGGCAATGTCTATTCAGCTGCCTTAAAGTGAATATTCATCAGGTCAACATGCCAACTTACTAAGTGGGGGAGCTGGGTGTGATTAGATAAGAAAATTGGAAATGGATGACAGCTTTTTACTTTTCCAGTGGCTGGTTGAAATCTAGCCTGGGTTAAAAGCAACTCTCATGGCTATAAACAGAAAAAGCTGGTCATCTCAGAGCAATTCTCAGGGAATTACAGCACACTGATTTTAATGATACATATTGCATATGCATAAACATTTGTACAGGTTTGTTTTTTTTTTTTTTAATTAAGTATACTTTATCTTATGCAGTATACTGTAGAGATACTTGAGCTGACTACATATACCCCAGCTGATAGATCTTGTTGTATTTCATGGTACATTTTAAACTGTCTCAATAAGTATCAGGGGCAGTGTATTGTGTATTAGTTATTTTTATATTCCAAGTGTATGTATTTTGTGGAATTTCTTGAAGTGAAGTTGTGAATGCTTGTTGGGACAGCAAAGTAGCACGGAACTACGAGGACAGAGTGATCAAGAAGTTGCAAGTTGTTAACTCCTCAAAAATGTATTTAATCGTCAGTGCTCGTTAGTAGGAGAGGACAGTAATGTAGGAGGACTAGTACATGATACTTCTAATTGATGTGAATTTTATCTAAAAAAATAATAGATTAAAAAAAAATAAGCAAGCAAAAGGAAGAATCTGAACATTAAAATGATCTTTTGAACAGCAAGGCTTATTTGATTATAAAGCAGTATTTTAAGTAGACAACTTTATTGGAAATTATGCTACTTTGGGTGATTGAATTCAACCATGTATGTCTCTTCTGTCTCTAGTAAGATCATTTGATTCATCTTTCTTTAGTGAAGCCTGTGGTTTGTTTGCTACTATGTGTATTAACAGCAGGTTGTCCAAACAGAGCACAAAACAAGGAAGTGAAAGAGAAACAATATCTCTTTGAAGAAATTTCACATAGTATCTTTAATAAAGAGTGTTTAAATGTAAAAACATAATATAGGGAACAGGAATCAGGGAGAAATGGAAACACAGGAAGGGAAGAGTAGTCACAAAGAGGAATTAAGAGCAGGAGGAGGGGAAAAACAGTATGAATTCAGATGAACCAAGGATCAAAGAAAAAGGAAAATGGGCAGAAGGTAAATATGTGACAGAAAGGAACAAAAATAGCAACAGGACAGAAATATTTTTAAAAAGCAGCAGAGACATTTATAAAAACAATATGTTTTCTGTTTAGTGGCAAACTTTGTGAATATGGAACCGTTTTGTCATATGGAAACATTTCTTTTGACCTGCTTAAAGTATATTGATTATGGTACCTTATTTTCTTTTTGTTAGTTGTAGGCCACTGTGATTTCCTATTGGCTACTGTAACTTTTTAGGTTGCCTTGCTCACTATTTGATGGGGGATAAAGGTGGACAAATTGATTTCTGGATGTCTACCCAGTAATTTAGAGTTCAAAGGAAGAAGTACCATGTTGAACGAAAATTTTCTGGGAACATAAAAGATGCACAGTGAAGTTCTTTACACTGGAACATGTCCAAGATTCAGAGCTGAATACCCTACAGGCTTTAGGAAGGAAAAATCTGCTTGGAGGGAGGGGAGAGTAATCAAAAGTTGGCAAAACTTCAAGTCAGCTTAATCTATAAGAATCACATATTTTTAGTAAGTATGATTAAGTGTGGGAAAGAATCACCAGGGGAAGTAATGGAATCTTCATCTTCTCATGTCCTCAGATGCAGATTGTATTTTCCTCCAGAACTGCATTCACGCTGTAGAGCTTAGTACAGAAGATCAAATGATCCTTTGATCCTAACAATCCTAATCTAGGAAAGATAGTACTCGTGGGTAGAAACGCTGGCCCACATTATATTTATATAATTGTGAACCATGAGAAAGAGCCACTCTCTTCTTTTCTTCCATTGGTAAACCCACAATACTAACTTCTCAACAATAGTTACATCTTGCTGGGACATGACAAGGAAAGTTAGGACATTATGCCTGGCAGATCTTAATTGCTTTGTTCACCAAATCTAACACAAGCTCTTTGATCTCTAAGGATACAGCAGGAGATAGGACCAAAACCTTTCTTTGGGCTGAGTTTAATTATTTGCTCTTATTGATATCTTTACCATACATGTTTTTGAGAAAAGTTATTTTTACCCTTGGAGATATGCTTCAGTTCACCACAAAAAAGCAGATTCATACTGGGATGAGTATGAGCAATCAGTTAAGGATCTTGTTCACACAGCACCTCTACCTAGGTGGCTGAGTATTCAGCTCACTCTGGCCCTTAGTAATGGCAGAGTAACATTTCAGCAGGACCGAAGAGCTTTGTTGAGTTTCCTGTATCTGTCTTTTATTAAAAGGTCGACACATGTTCCCGTTGGAGAAGATCAAGTCCTGCACCTGGAACTAGCTCAAGATATAGCACAACATTTTAACAAGAAATATGGAGAATTCTTTCCTGTGCCTAAAGCCATTTTGAGTAAGCCAATCTTTATGGGTTTTTTTGTAGTTTATTTTTTTCCCTAAATTGCTCTTCAAGTCTGAAGATAAATTTAAATATTGTGGAAATAATTTCCAGGACTAGGAAAAGAGAAGACTGATGCTAAAAGAGTAGAAAATGAAAAAGTGACAAGAAACAAGAGACTGTGAAATTGTACTCCCAAAATGGACATAAGGCATTACAAATCCCTGGTAGAGGCATGTATGCAGCATCTATTATTCTAGTGTAGGGGACAGTTATGCTCTGATCTGTCAGTCAGCCCTGCTGTTCAAGTTCTAGAGCTTTTAGGGATGGACTCTCTTCTACGTTCAGGAGGTGTATAAGGAGCAAGTCAAAAGACCTCCAGCATGCAGAATTCTGCATTGTCTGAGTAGTAATTTATATTAAGCATACTAAACAGCATGTTGGTTTATTGCTACAGTGCATGAAAATCTTTTAATTGTGTTTAATTCATACTTGCGTATTTCACTAAGGGTCTCTTACAGACCTCAGACTTTCCATTTTTTACCCTAGACTCAGAGAGACTTATAAGTAAAATCTTCTCAGCCATTTTTGAGCTATAAGGTCATAGGCCGGGGGGTGACGGAGAGTCAGATAGCGCAAATGGTGTGTTTGTTAAGAAACGTGAAAAATTGGGCAAGGAAGAAGCATTGCATCTTTGTTGTAAGTAATGTAGAGGAATGCACAGCAGAGACCTTCGGCCCCGAAAGGGCAAGGAGCACTCACCTTAGAAAAGACAGACAGTAATAAACCTTTCTCAGTTTTCAAGCCTCTGTGACAAAAATGGTGTTAGACCCAGTTAGACACAGAGTGGGGCTTATAAAATACTGAGTTTTGCAAGCTCTGCAGTTTCTAATGAACAACTAAATAGTAAATACTGTAAAGAGAAGATGAATGTAGTCTCTGCTACTGGTGAGGCTGTTTACCAGAAAATAAAAAGTTCAAACTGTAAAAAGAACTTTTCACTTTCTTCACAAGAAGCATAAGTGAGCAAGTACATACAAACCAAAGAATTGTTCTAGATAAATGGAGTGGTTAGGAAGCTATTCAGACTCGCTAGCTATAGACAGCTACATTGTTTGGGCTACTTCAAATTTACAGGGAAGTAAATTGGAGGAATAGACTCCTCCAAAAGGTGTATCAGAACAGAGCCCCTTCTAGGGTCATCTGAATTGTTCTTTAAGTAGATACATGATCAGTCAGTGAAGAGTATGTGGAGAATTTAGTTGAATTTATTAGATGTCAAAAAACATTTAGCATAAGTATACTGTCAGAGGTACTTCTGTGTACTCCAGGAATCGTTTCTTGGTGAAAGATTGAAACAGTTCAGGCTGATTCTGTTAAATAAAAGACTTTGCAATATTCCTTTAATGTCATTATTTAATTTTGTGTATCTTAGGAATTTGTACAATACCTACACTTGTTTTATCTATACTGTGCCTTCCCTGTGATGAAGCTGATTATTGTTTGGTTAGGGAAAACTAGTGTCTTTATTGATATTTGGGAGAGTTGACAAGAAATTTTGGTTGATAAAGCTTCCTACCTAAAACAAGGTAATTATCTCCTCTGGACTTCTTTTTGCCAATGAATTTAACCTGTTTCCCCACTGTTAGGGAGTCTTTCTTTAATGTTCATTCCATGCTCTCAAGATAACTAATTCCTGTGTCCCCACAGAAGTTTCCATGTAGAAAGGAGGAAAAAATGAAGTAAGTTTTGATTTAGTTAGGGGAGGAGAAAAATTACTTACAAAGACAGGGAATGCAAATAGGAGGCTTGATAATTGTGCTTACAACTCCTTTCTAAGCATTTGACAGAGAGTTCTGTCATTCTGCTACCAAATATTCTTAGCAATTCTCATAATAAACAATTGTCTATCCATGTGCATAATTAATACTTTTCTTTTTTTTCTTAAGGTACAACAAAGAAAATAAAATCCCTCAGAGATCCAACAGTGAAGATGTCTAAGTCAGACCCACAGAAGTTAGCTACTATTAACATAGCAGACAGCCCTGAGGAGATAGTGCTGAAATTCCGAAAGGCCGTGACTGACTTTACCTCTGAGGTGACTTATGACCCATCCAGTCGCCCTGGTGTCTCCAACCTGGTGTCCATTCACGCTGCAGTAACTGGACTTAGCATAGAAGAAGTGCTGCACCAAGCTGTTGGTCTTGACACTGCTCACTACAAAATGGTGGTAGCAGAGGCAGTTATTCAAAAATTTACACCTGTCAGGAATGAAATCAAGAAACTCCAGGAAGACAAAACCTATCTGATAAAGATTTTAGAGGCTGGAGCAGAGAAAGCCAAAGAACTGGCTACCCCCATCTATCAAGAAGTAAGAAGACTGGTGGGATTTCAGTAGAAACTGGCAAGCAGTTGCAAGGTCTTCAGTCATTTGCTCCTGGGACAGCTATTTTGTTTGAAACAAACAGTTTGAAACAAAAACTTTTTTTTTTCTCTGCAAAATCCAAGTAGAATAGCTAAGCTGTTTACATCAAAAATGTGCGTGAAGCCAGTTCCTTCCAGTAGGACCAGCTCTGAACTTGTCAGGATGGTCAGAGGACAAGGGTGCAGGCAATCACAGTTATGAAGAAATTATACAAAAGCAGGATACAAGGTTGCTCGGATGGTGTTTTGGGTTTTTCTTCCGACCACTACAAGAAGCTGAGGTATAGGCAAGATGGTTTTAAGATAGTTGAAGGAGTTGTAATCTTCTCAAGAACACCCTTAGCTGTTTATGTGATCTTGTTAGAGCTGGATTACTTGTGGTTATTCAGCTTTGATACCATGATGGTCTGCTCTTGGATAACCAGACAGCAGAGTTACAAATCAGAATGACTGGGGCTTTGGTGATGAAGAGAGAACTTACTGCTTCTTCCTGTCATTTCTTCAAACTCAGTGTAATTTTGTATCTACATCAAGTTTGTGTGAGGTGAGTTAGTCAGATACTGATATCCATACAGTAGAACTCACTGTGGCTGCTAGTGCTAGACGGCCTCTTTGATAGTCTCTCCAAAGAATGCAGAGCAAATGTGAATTTCACTTCTGCCAGCACCGCCATCCTCCTGATCGATTCTGAAGTTCTCTGTCAGGAAACTACACAGGCTTCAACTCATCCTTTTCCACCTTCTTTTTGGTTTAGCAGGGAGCCCTGAGATTTTCAGTTCAGCACCAAGTCTAGGATTGCTTTAGGAAAGGTTCAGGGAGAAAAGATGTGTGAAAGAGATCTTATGCTGATCTGTGAGAGAACTTTCTATATATTTTACAAAATTAATTATTTAAAAATTATGCTCAGGTCATAGCCAGGACTGTGCTAAAATAATTTATCAAAATAGAATTAAATAGATCTTTGTGAAATCTCACTGCTAAATCTCACCTTCCTGGGTGTCCGGACGGAATAGGGACTTGAAAGACAATCAAAAAATCATGTGGATGATTGTCCTTATATGTTGGAGAAGTTGCCATGGGCAAGTCAGCCGACTGCCTGCATTACAGCCATTTCCATAAGAGAAAACAGTCATTATTGTCATTGGTGACTGGGAAAAGAGGTCCCAATACAATGACTAGACCCATTTGATGGGGAAGTCTGCTGCACCCCTGTATTAAAGATGTTACAAGAAAACTTCCTAACCTAGTGCAGCCCCCAGATTACTAACCATTAATGGTTTTTGATGTAGGCAACAATGAGATCAGGAGAGGCATTGTGGGCAATCAGAAGGGTCTGTAGATTCTTGGGACAATTGGTTAAAGGTTTGGAAGTGCTGATAGTGTTTTTCTTTATCCTTCCAGAATGATATCAGAAGAAATATCCAGGCAGAGCTTATCAGTACATGGCTTTTAGGCTGGTGTCACTGGCAAAATTTTGGATTTTTTTATCACAGTATGATCAGTGCAGCACCAGGCCTGCTGGCACTTGACAAGATGTACCTTTCTCAGAGAGGGAAAATTGTTTGGTTTTTTTTTTCTGGGCTTATTGAAAGAACTTTTAACGAGACTTGAAGATGAAAAGGGATTAAACGAGGCTTGCCAGTGATAAGCTGGCAGTGAGATGACACACCAGAGTTTGTAGGATCATGTGCAAGTGAGGTCCTTCAGTCTTCTCTACAAGATACTGGGTACACTAGAGCACATGTGAAATTTTTCTGCATTAATGCATACAGCATGAGGAATAAGCAGGAGGAACTAGAAGCCTTGGCTTTGTTCCAGACTTACAACATTGTTGGTGTAAGCAACCCTTGGTAAGAAGAGTCCTGTGACTTATGTATCATGTTGAACGATTATAGGCTTTTCATGAGGGACAGACAGGGCAGGAGAGGCAGTGTGTGGCACTGTATGTAATGGAACAGCTTGGTAGTATCAAGCTTACAATTGGCAATGATATGATTTAGACCTTCTGGCTAAGTATTACGGGACAAGCAGGCAAGTAGATACCATTGTGGTAGTCTGCTATCACCACCCAGCCAGGACAACAACACAAATTAATTATTATGTAAAGAAGGAAGGGATATTTCTAGATCAGCCACCCTTGTGCTAATGGATGACGTCAATTTGTTAGGTGTTACCTGGGAGTACCACACAGTTGATACAAACAGGTCCATAACATTCCTGAAACACTTTGTTGGTAACTTTTTTAACACTGGAAACAAGGTCAGGTGATGTCAGTGTACTACATAGGTGCTGTTCACCACTGTAGAGAGAAAATTTGTACAGCCAAAGCTTATTTAGGGTTGAAGTTGACCAGTACTGTGGGGAACGAAAATAGTACTGTGGGGGACAACAAAAAGGACTTTTTAAATGTATGTTTTCAGAAAAAGGAGGACCAGAGATTACACTGATTAGTTACTTGGTGAGGATGGTCGCCTCACAAATAGGGACGTAGACAACACAAAGACATTTAATGCCTTCTTCACATCTGTCTTTAACGTTGATGATAGGCCTTGACTAGAGCCCTGAGTTGAAGAACTATGACTGTGATAATGATAAACTCCCAACCAGCTCTAATGTTATGCCAGATTTGCTGCTCCAGTAGATGTATTATATGTCTACTAGGCCTGATGGGATTCATCCCAGGTTATTCAAAAAGCTGGCTGATGTCATCTTGAGACCTCTCTCAACTAGTCTTCAGTGATGTTGGGAATCCAGTCTGGAAGGTAACAAATGTTACAGTTTTCCAGAAGGGCAAGAAAGACCCTGGTAATTATAGATCTTTCACTTCAGTGCCTTGAAAAATTATGAAGAAGATTATTCTGGGAGTTACTGAAAAAAAACCTGAAAGACAATATAGTTATTGGTTACAGATAACACAAGTTCACAAGGAAAAAAGTCCTCTTAGGACTAGTTTGCCTACTTAGCTGAACAAGGGAAGCCAGTCAATCTTTCTGAATTTCCGCAAAGCTTTTGATACTGTTTCTCACAGTATCCTTCTGAGGAAATTGTCCAGAATACTTATAGACAAATAAATAATAGAATGGCTGAACAATTGGCTGACAGTTGGGACTCGGGGTGTTAAGGTAAATAGAGTTACATCAGGCTGGTGAGGGTCCATAGGGCTCCACTTGAGGGCCAGTTCTCTTCAGTGTTTTCATAAGTGACTTGGATACAGGACTTGAAGCTGTGCTCAGTAAATTTGCAAACTATTACATTAGGAGAACCTGCTGATTCCCTTGATGGTAGAGGCCTTGCAGAGAGATGCTGACAAATTGGAGGGCTAAGCAATCACCAACCATGTGAAGTTTCAATAGAGCAAGTGATGGATTCTGCACCTGAGACGAACTGTATGTACAGACGGAAAGATGAGATGCTGAAGAGCAGCCCCACAGAAAGAGATCTGCATGTTCTGGTTGATGGCGAGTTGAATCTGAGTCAGCAGTGTGCCTTGGCAGCCTGAAGGGCCAGCTGTACCCTGTGGTGCATCAGGCCCAGCACTGCCAGCTGGGCAAGGGAAGTGATTGTCCCAGTCTTTGCTGTGCAGCCTCACTTCAAGCACTGAGTGCAGCTTTAGGTACCACAACATAAGAAGAACATAAAATTATTAGAAAGCATCCAAAGGAAGGCTGCAAAGATGGTTCATTCAGCCCAGAGCAGAGGAGCTGAGGGGAGGCCTGATGGCGGCTGCAGCTCCTGACAGGGAGCGGAGGGGCAGCGCTGAGCTCTGCTCTGTGTGACAGCGACAGGGCCCGAGGGAACGGCATGGAGCTGTGTCAGGGGAGGGCAGATGGGGGTGAAGGACAGGGTCTGCACCACAGGGCGGTGGGCATGGAACGGGCTGCACAGTGGGCACAGCTCCAAGCTGACAGAGTTCAAGGAGTATTTGGACAATGCTTTCAGACATTGGAATTGAATTTTGGGTGGTCCCTTAGAGCCAAGAGTTGGAGTTGATGATCTTTGAGGATCTCTTCCAACTCAGTGTACTCTATGATTCTATGATAAAATGTAATGAAAGCCTTACCTGTCCTGTGCTAGCATATTAAATGGTGCTATGTTTAAACTTTCAGAGTTTCATACTTTGTGAGCTCGTAACCATTATATGCCTGTGGCATTTGTCATGGAGAACTGCAGTCTTATTTGACTTGAGTTGAAAAATTTGGGAATTTCTATGTAATGCTGATTTTAATAAATAAAGCTGTTTGGTTTTTAATTTACTTATTAGCAGAGTGACATAATTCAGAAATAGTTAATTTTGCAAAGCAAGAAGTAGTGGCATCTGGCAATCTGCCCTGAGAGCTGTGTTTGCTTATTAATGATCTGAAGAAAGAGAACCACAAGGCAAATATTTGATAATGGTGGAGTTTCTAAAGTTAGTCAGTGCAAGAGAAGCAGAGTGAGAATGAGGGGAAACCAAGTACAATATTGACAAGTCTTCTAGAAATTACGAATGTATTCAAAACAGTCCTTGGTTTCAAAGTAACTGTAGCAGACTTCAAAGGGGACACATTTCTGTGGTTATGTAGGTATTTCATTAGACTTTTATCAGAGTTTCATAACATATTAAAAAAATATATCAGTCTGCATAGGAAACAAGGCAAAAAAATAAGACATACCTCATGATTAATATTATTGATTAATGTCAAGATTAACTTGACATTAATTTGTTTAACTCATTTCTATTTGTATTACATCCTTAACCTGATTGACCAGAGGACTTGTGCTACTTTACTTTTACATTCACTTTATCCTGTTTTGAGGCCCAATCTTGGCACACAAAGGGAAACAAGAGGAAGAAGATGACAGGAGTAAATTAAAATAAGTGACAGAGAGTAGCTTTGTTTCTTCTTGTGTTGTCAAAAAAAAAAAAAAAAAAAAAAGCAAATTAATAAAAGTATTAAAGATGTTGTGTGTACATGGTATACAGATAATCAGCCATTAGCCAAGTTCACAGAAGTTTAGCTACACTTGATAAATTAGATTTGGTAGACTAAAAAACTGAATGCTTCAGTTAAAGTAAATCTCTACTTTTTAATGATTTTTCTTTCACAGTAATTCTCAACCTCTGACTTCTGTACGTTGCAAGTCAAAGCATGTAATATGAAAAAGAGATATTCCTTCCTAAGGAGGGAGGCTTTGATGCTTGGATTTGGCCAAAGGTGTCACCCAGAGTTGGTTCCTTAAGAGAAACTGGTACTGTGGTTGTGGATGGAGATGCTAGAGATGCAGAGAATCTTTAACAATAATGGATCTGATTTCTACCTTTTTCTTTACTTTTTATTTTCTTTTTTTTTTTCTTTTTTTTTTTCTTTTTTCCGGTAACAGAGATAGGAACATGTATTCAAAAGACAAATTGTAGTTTCACTTTCTTTTTATGCATATGCTACTCAAATCACATATCACCTAGGACTGGCATTCAGCACATCTCATTTGCAGTAAAAAGGAAGTGGGAGTATTGTTACATCTTCATTACAGTTTTAAAGGGGGTGTGTATGTGTGTGTGACACAAAGAAGCAATTCTGGCTTGATGCCTGAACTTTTCTGAACTATTGCACTTCTATAAAACTGTTAAGTTTTTCTGAACATGACAAAAACGGAACAGAAATAAAAGTTTCAGAAAGGCCCTTTTTTAGGTGTAAGGTTAGGATATTTAGCAATGTTTCAATCTAATTCAGTTTTCTCATTAATTTAAGAATAGGTTGTGTGGACTTTTTGCTTCTCTTTCCCATCTCTATCAAACAAATCTTGCTTGGCAGTCTTATCTTCTTGGAGTAAGGAAATATGCCTGTTTTTTCTTCAGAAAAGTTAGACTTCTATAAAATGAATGAATATGCTCACCTACAGATTGTTGGCTTAGCCTCTTTATTTTAGTACCTCCTGTGCAGGAATTCTCAAAACAAAAGTTACATTTGCCCAGTGCTGTAATCCCTATACTGCTAACAGTCATGATCATTAGACTCCCCTGAGTCATGATCATTAGACTCCCCTGAGAGAAGACAACTATAATGTAGGCATTTGATGCTTATTTCAGTTTTTTGAGAGCATGCCTTTTCTGGGATGTTAACCATCATGGCATTTGGCTGGACCTAGCCTGGCTACCTCTTTGCATTCTTTGAGCACTCTAAAGGAGTTTGTCGAGAAGAAGTGAGCATAAAGCAATGTGTACTTGCTACTACCAGTAAAAGTTTTTTGATACCAAGCTACTGTGATCTCTGTTCTACTTCCCTCTTTAGAACATTTTTGTAAGCACACATTCTAGATGGTGTTCTGTGACAGACAGTATTTACTTTAGTAAAGCAGTGCAGATGAATTAAAGCAGCTCTTCGGAGAAAATGGCTGTTCCAGAAGGCCTGATGCTATGTATTCTCAAAAGGACTTGCTTCACACTAACTTTAGTCTTGTCCCATGGATTTACTGCTTAATTACAACTAGAGATCAGTAGCGACACTCCTGAAATGCATTTTCTTGTTCAAGTTCAATCCAATTCGTGTTCCATGAAGCCCCTTTGTAGTGCCTGCTGAGGTGCAGTGAGTAGGGACAATGAGAGTTCCCACGAAAGGACATTTCTGTTCCCAGTCACCTTGCTGGTGCAGACAGTCCTTGTGGGGCTGTGGAAGTCAAGATGAGGCATTATCCCAGATTGGTTGTTAGGAAGAAATGAAATTATATCTTTCCCGATGGAAGAAGGAAGAGTTGAAAGTGGAAGAGGTATGTTTATACCCTATGCTATCTGTGTTGCTCTTAGTTTAGCTTCCCATTCTTCAGTGATTTTCCTTGAATGTGTAGTAATGTGTGGTCATAGTACCCAAATCTCTTCTTTTCACGTTCCTGAGTGTTCATTCACTCAGGAACATACACATGAGAAGTACATATGATAGTGATTGGGATCAGAAGTATCACAACAGAGATGGACATAGCATCTCTAGGTAGATGAAGATGTTCACTTACACCTAGAAGTTAACACCAACTCCACTACAAAGAGCTGTTTATTAAGATGTAGCTAAAATATTTATACACTTGAGTCTTTGCCATTAGTGGTTCCAAGGAAATCCTCTTATGACTGGCAAGAAGATGTTGTATACAAGTCACAGTTCTGTGCTCCCAACTTAAGGCATAGAGTTTACTGCAAATTTCAGATTCAATCTTCCTCAACAGAGACTTGTGAGGAGGATTAGCCTCACAATTAATTCTGGCTTTAACTCTGATATCTTCATACATACATGCCTCAGATAACTGGAATTTATGCATATTGTACAGTATCCTGCAGTTTGTTTCTAACTATTAAAGATGGGCCTGAAATATGGTTTGTTTTCAGGCACTGTATTCTGGGTTCTCAAGATCTCCCAAAGGGCATTGATTCTAATGAATACTCTCTTTTAGAGGTCCGAATTGTCTATATTTCCATGAAGAATGACAGATGGACCTTCCACAGCATTTATATCTTCACGTTTGAGTAACTAGATGCTGGTGATGCTGGCTACCTGTTATTTTACGACCAATTGCTTCACAGAGAGAGTACCATAAGGAGTCAAGTAGAAAAGGTTTTCTCTTTAAGAAAAGATTTTCATCCTAAGAAAGCAACAGCCCTCTACCTGCCATATTGGTTTATTTAATTACATAGAATCACAGAATCATATGATCATAGAATTACAAAATAATAAAAAGATTTGGATTGGAAAGGACCTTAATCATTTAGTTCTAAACCTCTGCCATAGCAAGAGCTGCCACCCACCAGACCAGGCTGCCCAGGGCCACTTTCAACAAGGCCTCAAACACCTCTGGGGATGCAGCAGCCTGTGCCAGTACCTCACTGCCCTCTGGGTAAAGAATTTCTTCCTATTACCTAACCAAAATCTCCTCTCTTTTAGTATAAAGCTATGCCATTTCTCCTGTTACTATCAGACCTGGTTAAAACAAACAAACAAACAAACCCTCAAGTACTGCAAGACTGCAATGAGGCCTCCCCAGAGCCTTCTCTTCTCCAAGCTTAACAAACCCATCTCCAAAGGCTTTCCTCACAGGACAGGTGCTCCAGCCTTCTGATCATCTCCGTGGCCCTTCTCTGGACCACTCCAACATCTCCACATCTTTCTTGTGTGCTGGAGGGTCCAGGTCTAGATGCAGTGTACTGCAGGCAAGCCCTCACAAAGGCGGAGTACAGGGGGACAATCATCTTCCTCTCCCTGCTGGCCATCCCTCTTTTCATGCAGCCCAGGATATAGCTGGACTTTCAGGATGCAAGTATGCTCTGCCGGCTCATGACAAGCTTTTGTTTCACTGGGACCCCCAAGCCCTTTCTACAGGGCTGCTCTCCATGTGTTCTGCTCTCAGTCTGCACACATATCTGGGACTGCCCTGACCCAAGAGCAACATCTTGTACTTGGCCTTGTTGAATCTCAGTAGGTTCATGTGGGCCCACTTTTCAAGCTTGTTGAGGTCCCTCTGGATGGCATCCCTTCCTTCTACTGTGTCAACTGCCTTCTTCCTTCCACTGTGTCAGCTTGGTGTCATCTGCAAACCTGCTGAGGGTGTACTCCATCCCACTGTCTATGTCACTGATCAAGATGTTGGAGAGTATTGATAGCAAGATGGAACCTACCTATCACTCACCTCCACCTGGACACAGAACCACTGATCACAGTCCAGTGGCTGCAACATCCAATTCTTTATCCACCAAACAGTCCAGCCTTCAAATCCACATCTCTTCAATTTTGAGATAA